CACCTACAATGCCCCTTTACAGTATGTAGTGTCCTTAGTGATGGATAGTAAGCTACATAGCATATACTTTTATGCTTTAGGTATTCGAAAGGTAGCGTTCTACTAGTCTAGAAGGCTTCCAGTAATTACTAGGGCTGGATCTGATGTATATCCCAGCTTGTATCACCAACTCTAACTTAAAAGCATCTCTTCACGATCCAAACTGCAGGGAAATAACCTTAAATCCCTATGCATACCGCATTGCAAGACTAGATCGGATTATAACAATATTCCCGAACCTCATGAAATCTGTAATTGGTGAAATCTAAACCATTTGCTAATATGCAATGAAAAACCCAGAGATGCGCCGCGAACCAATACATGTACCAAGCAAGGTAAGACCCAAGCTACACGCCGTGTCTTCTGAACCGCTTGATACCAAGGTAGCACTGTATAACACTATGCCCTCAACATCAAATCCCACAGCTACTGTACATAGAATACAGTCCACGCAAGCCAGACCGGCAAATAAAGCATGCAGAGCCGATCAACTTCAGTGATCGCTCCCCAAAGAGCAACACTATCAGAACAGCATCGACTCAACTCCGGCGCCGCGTCATTTCATGCCTGATGTAACCGCCAAACTGTGCATGGACGAAGGGGGTATGTATGATATGCCTCATCATGTCCGAAAAATCCGAATGTCTTTCCCTCTGGAGGAGTGCAACGACTGCGATGCCGATTATTGACGCGCAGGCTGAGTAGTCGATGACTGTTCCGCGGCGGCCTCAGAGTCCAGACGCTCCTGTTCCAGGACTTCCTGACCGTTGTCCGAGGCCCACATATCGAGATAGTCCTTTCCGCTGAAAGCCCGTTCAAGGGTGACGATCCTTCCGCGCTTCTCGACTTCTTTCGTGTACTTGGATTTCGTGGGAGGCATACGCTTGGTCACGAAGGGGGTCAACTATATCATACATATCCGTATTAGTCTCTCAATCCCAAAGTAAAAGTCAATTGAAAACAAAAGGTGAAATCCCACCTTGAACTGATCCAAGTTCTCAGGTACAACGAAAGTGCGGACTTTTTTCCAATCGATCACATATGACCCGTTCTTCGCAAAGTAACCCATCGATCCGGTCCGGTTACCCTTGTAGTAGCCACCAAGGACCTGTTTCGTGGTCAGACGCAAGCGCGCCAACATGGGCTGTGAGGGCTTGAACATGGTGGGCAGGCAGGGAGGCAATTGACGGTCGGTGGGTTGCGGAGGTAACAAGACGGAGCGTTGGACAAGATGTTCGGGGAAGAGTCGATAGGAAGGCTCTTTCTGGGCGGCGCTAGAGAGGAGTAGCTCCGCCCCGCCAAGAACATTTTTCGTGGTCCGCATCGGAAAAGTAAAAAAATCAACGGCTGCATCTTGACAACTTCTTGCGGTGCGTCGTCGCCATTCAAGTTATTCTTTCCTTTATTTTATTTCCTGGGATTTCTCTGAATAGATTATCATTTACATAAAATACAGCTCAGGAGCTGCGACACACGCCCATCATGCCTCGCAGGCAAACGCAAATGCGCGGTCCCAAAGACCGGGACCAGTCCTTGCAGAAATCGAAGAAGCCCGCACCCAAGAACAAGAAGTCCGGAAACTACCTAAATGCATTTGCGATCGCAGAGAGCGAAAATCCTGGAAAACTGGGAGTCAAGCGCACCCGTCTAGGCAAGGAGGACGAACCTTTCAAACGCAAGCGACACAACGCTCGAGATGCCGACGACTCGGACGGCCCGGATTACAGCAAGCGCCGTCGCACTGGAGACGATGAGGCGTCGGAAATAGACTCGAATGCTGGTAGCGATGGCGAAGGACACCGGTGGAGGATTGGTGAGGTCGGCAGTGACGATGACAGCGAGTTGGACAGTGACGAAGCCATGGGTTCCAGTGATGAGGAGAGGTTCGAGGGCTTCACGTTCCGCGGCAGTTCTACGATGAAAAACAAACCGAAGCAGAAGGCCCCGGAACGCAAGAAGCGCACTCGCGAAATCAACTTGTCCGAGGACGCTGAAGTATCAGAGGACGAGGACGATCTCGAAGACGACTCGGACGACCTCGGAGAGGATGCGATAGACCTGACTACGGCTTGGGATATGAACATGGCAGAGGAAGAAGAGGAAAAGGCTAAGAAGGCCAAGTCTAAGTCTAAGCAATCGGCTGAGAGCGATGAATCGGAAGAATACGACTCCGAAAGCGAGGACAGCGACTCGGACGACAATGACGATGAACTGCCATTATCGGGAGACGACATGGACGAAGATGAGGTGGATGAGCATGGTCTTTCCAAGCTACAGAGCTTTGTCAACGCTATGAACACCGAGGGTACTACGAAGACAGCACGAAAGACCGGTGGAAAGCAGGAACAAGGGGCCCCTACGGAGTTCGGTCTGACTTCTACGCGAAAACTCACTATTGCCGATCTTCTGCCATCAATTACAGATTCTCGCCTCAAGAGTTCCCTCAAGCATGTCGACGCTACTACGACCTCAAACACGAAGACGTCCGGTGTTCCTGGAAAGCTGGATGCGCCTCTTGCAAAACGCCAACAGGATCGGCTGGACCGAGCGGCCGCATATGAGAAGAGCAAAGAGACTCTTGACCGCTGGCTGGAGACTGTCAAGGCGAACCGCCGAGCCGAGCATCTTGTGTTCCCTTTGCCTGATCCCGAAGCAAACCAGACGCACCGGATGGGTGCTGCTGAACCGCGAACGGATCTTGAAAGCACTATCCAAAATATTCTTCAGGAGAGCGGTCTTATTGAAAATAATGGAAAGTCAGCGGAAGAACAGGTGCAGGAGTTTGAAGAACTCCAGGCGCGGAAATTGCCTATTGAGGAGATCAGGGCTCGCAGGGCGGAACTACGGAAGCGTCGTGATCTGCTCTTCCGGGAGGAAGTACGCGCCAAGCGCATCAAGAAGATTAAGAGCAAGTCGTACCGTCGTGTGCATCGCAAGGAGAGAGAGAGGCTTGAGCAACAGGAACGACAGGCTCTCTTAGAAGCCGGCGTGGACCTGGATGAAGAGGAGAGGGAGAAGAACGATCGCCTGAGAGCAGAGGCCAGAATGGGTTCGAAGCACAAGGAGAGCAAGTGGGCGAAGAGCCTGAAGCAGACTGGTCGGACCGCTTGGGATGAGGACGCTCGACGTGGCACGCAGGATCTGGCCTTGCGGGAGGAAGAACTACGGAAGAGGATCGAAGGAAAGCGCGTCACCAACGGCGATGAAGACTATCTTGGCTCATCCAGTTCTGAGTCCGAAGACGAGGACCCATGGGATGAAGAGGCTGGGTCGGATGCTGAGAAGCGCAAGATCCGCCAGAAGCTTAGCCAGCTGGAAGGTGACGATGATGCTGACACAGAGTTGAAGGGGCCCCACGCCAAGCTCCTTTCGATGAAGTTCATGCAGAATGCGGATGCTGCGCGTAAAGCAGAAAATGATGCTGAAGTTCGCCGTCTCAACCGGGAGCTCCACGGTGAAGAGTCGCAGTCTGAGGCGCAATCCGAAGTCGGTCGCCGGAAGTTTGGCCACAAGAAGGAGGAGGCGAAGACAGCAAAGGAATCCAAAGCGAAGCTGCCTCGGAATGAATTCGAAGAAGCACCGGGTTCTGATGATGAGGATCAGCAAGAGGCGGATCAAGAGGTCGACATTGTTGTTGACCGTCCCGCAAAGAAGGGACCGGCAGCCCCCCAGAATAAGCCTCGTGGTCGTCCTCAAAAGGAAATCGCAGAAGAAGAAGATGCTGCTGCTGTGGAGGAGAACCCGTGGCTCGTGCAGACGAACCGCAATAACCGTCGCGCCATAGTGAACGACTCACAGCAAACCGTTGACATCACGCTAGATGACGCGAATGCCAGCAGCGGTAAATCGAAGAGTGCACCCAAAGCCCAAAAGGCATCAGCACCTAGCAAAAAGAAGGTTGATGCCGAGGTGTACGGTAGCGACGATGAGGAGAGCGTGCCGGTGCTTCTCAAGAACCATGATCTGGTGAAGAGGGCCTTTGCGGGCGATGAAGTCGTGCAGGACTTTGAGCAAGAGAAATTCGACACCATCAAGGAGGAAGACGATCAAGTGATCGACAACACCCTCCCCGGCTGGGGTAGCTGGGCTGGTGATGGCATCAGCAAGAAACAGCAAAAGCGCCAGAAACGGTTCCTCACTAAGGTCGAGGGAGTGAAGCCGGAAGACCGGAAGGATGCCAAGCTCTCCCGGGTCATCATCAACGAGAAACGGGTCAAGAAGGTAAGAACGACGATCAGTCGGGCTCTAGCGCGTGTGATCCTTATTCTTATTCTGTGCATGATAAACTAACGTCTGCTGTTTCGTCTAGAACACCAAGTACATGGCCACGCAGCTCCCCCACCCCTTCGAAACGAAGCAGCAGTACGAGAGATCGCTCCGTCTGCCAATCGGTCCTGAATGGTCTACTAAGGAGACTTTCCAAAATGCAACCAAGCCACGCGTGATGATCAAGCAAGGTGTCATCAAGCCGATGGAAAAGCCCATGGCTTAATGTATGTGGTGGTCTGGCTACTACGAGTTGGCAGTCATGGTGGGTAACTGAATAGACGAGAGCAAGGCATCTTGCGAGTCTGGGGTCTTTTGGTGGCGTTATTGTAGAATTAAGTTTGGTCATGATACCAAGTCATTTTAAGATTTCTCCGAACGATGGGGTTATTGGTTCAGAGGCTGAGGCTAGAGGGTTGTTGTCAAGGTGATGATTTTTGTGTCATCCCCGCATCAACCGGATTGTTCGTAGCATCCGATCTGCAGACCAGCACTGGTTTCAAGTTGTTTTAGTGCTGGTCCCTTTTTGCAGGGCATTAGTCTCCGGGGTTGGTCACCCCCCTTTAAGGTTGTCGAATAAGCAGTGTTTTGGACCCAAGATGATCAGGTCTGGTGAGTCCCTGCGCCGTGATACTCTCTTTCCCCGATGCGGTGCGGTTTCCTTAGATTGCAGGCCACATGGACATCGAGATTCGGTCCGACTTGGATCCATGGATATGAGCAAGCCACTCAGAGAGCTATTCGCGTCCCTTGCAACGACGAGTGACAGGGTGGAATGCCACGACGGGCGTTGGCCGGGAAAAATCAGAGATGGAGCATTCAATAATAAAACTTACTACATTGACTTTAACCTTGGCGTATAGGTACATTCCTTGATGCCTGGGGAGCATACGCCTCCCAGACCAGGTCTGGGAAAGGCAGCCGTGATATGGAGAAAGCCACAGAGAATCAGATCGTGGAGCATGAGACACTTGAAACCGGTCGCAAGGCTGGTCGGACAGTATTCAATTTTGTTCCTTTGGTCAGAAGGTGAAAGATGAGAAAGTACTTTCGTTCTTAGGGAAGTATATGAGCCTTGGGAGATGCTCCACTTGTTCTGGTTTACCCGCACCTTCAAACAGCGACAAGCAAGTTCAACCATCACCCGTTCCCTCCCTCCTCTTCTCTTCTCCCCCTTCAAAACCACTACTATTAGTTTATCTGTTCACACTAGCAATTCATCCAAGACACCATCAACAATCATTTGCCCCTCCATCGGTTATGCCGATTAATTACGATTAATCTGCCCCCTTCATCAGCTGTCTCAATCATCCGGCTGCAGTAAGCTTCCTCTCCCCTGCACATACCCGCCCGACTTCAGGCAGATGGTGCTCTGCATGCGCCCCCGGCTGGCAGAGCCCGAGGATGGTGCATTCCGCCCCCCTCAACCCTGCATTCCCCGTGCTATGTTTTCGTTATGCCTCGAGGCCTGGGATCAGACACCACAACATTGACCATTGTGCAGATCGACGCCTCGTAATACCTCGTTGGCACTTGTTCCAGCCCGCCAGTGTCCGTCTGGTATCCCTCTGCACCGGGGCCGGAGTTTTGCCCGAGCCTGAGATTCCTACTGGCTGAGACCGGAATCTATACTCAACCTAGGTGAGCTATTTCACTGCTATTTGAAAATGTCTTCCGCCGCTCGATCTGCTCCTGTTGTTTACTATCCTTTCCTGTCCCTCCCTCATATACTGGAGCCTGTCTCTGGGGTGTTCCGTACACTCAGTTATCAGTCCACCAAAGGAGACCTGGAGATCCATCGTTGGCCCCTTTATATAGTATCATTCTTGTGGATGACTCCGTTGCGATCATTCTTGCTGTTTTCTTTCATGTTTTGATCCACCTCAACCAACCCTACTGGCTGGCCACTTTCATACATACTAGCCCTTTGGCCTTGGGACGTGTGGAGGGATTTAATCCGTCTACTACACTTTTCAATCTTGATCTTTCATTCTAGAGAAAGACGGCACAGACCTTCACAATGGAGAGGAAACACAGATGGGGCTCATCGTTCTTGCTAATGTGGCTTCTAGCTGCAGAAGGAGTATACTCGGCCCCGAGACGCTCATCTTCAACTGCGTCTCCAAAGACGCAATTTCCACCAGGTGCTGAAACTGAAAGAATACTCCCTGGTACAAACGGTGTAAGTGCAACGTGACTTACCCATCATGGAGTCGGATTCTAATTACCATTCAGTTCTATCCGACTAGCCTTGAGCGCGAGGGCCATCCGGTGCTCCCAACCCCGACATCGACGGGGAACACGAAAGATCCTTGGGGACTTGATGGGCTGCTTGAATCCTTGGGCGATACCGCAAACCTCCCAAACGAATTATTGAGCGAGTTTCTACCAGGCTGGGACAAGAATTATCCAGTGACCGTGCCGGTATCAGCGTATAAACCGGCCAGCGCGGAAACGACTAGCTCAGCTACGGAACCACAAACGCAGCCGAAGACTTCTGATACCTCCACGCCGCAGGCTCCTAGCCAAAACGTGCCAGAGGCGACAACCGACTCTTCCCAGGTCAGCAGTCAAGCTTCGAGTACAACAAGCCTCACCCAGCTTTCGAGTACAACAAGCCCCACCCAGCTTTCGAGTACAACAAGTCCCACCCAGCCTACGAGCTTAGCGAGTTCAGCCCAGCCCTCGAGCTCAGCAAGTCTGACCACGACTGCAAGCCAAACAACGCAAGCGGATAATTCTATCACTTCAAGTGTTGTCCAAGGTAAGTTTTTTCAAATAATATATGCCATTTAATGTCTGACATGCCTTGGCGTTAGCCTCAGTTACACCAATGTCTGGTCAGGACGTATTTGTGCCATTGGCGACAACCCCATTCCCGCAAACCATCACAGCGCGGAACGATCATCCGGTGCCTAAGAAAGGAATTGTATGTATACCCGAACAAGACCTGTCCAGACTTGCCTAACGACCATAGGAAAATGTCACTACGCCAATTGAGACAAACAAGTTCTACGCTGGACTCTTCCTCGGGTCGCAGAGCAATACTACCTTTACCCATCCGTATGGTCTCTCATGGGCGAAGGGAAGCGGGAATGCCAAAAGTTATGGAATGGCCATTTCCCACAACGAGGTTAATGTCGTTGCAAATGGCCCCACCAACGCCAACATTCCTGGCAATCCCATTTCGTACTACATCAATCCTATTGGCATCCAGCATATGATCCTTTCAGCCACAGAACTCAACACCTCAACTGTGCTGACTGCAGAGAATCTCTTGCCATTCTCCGCTGATGCTGTTCTGAGTCCTACTCCCGGGTCAAGCCAAAGGATAACTATTCCTCTTGTGCAGGGGATGGGTTTCGTCACAGGCATGTACAACAACCTACAACCCCTGATTCAAAGTGGTGTATTTTTCAGCAAAGTCGTCACTGCTTCCTCGCCCCGGATTGGCATCTACAAATATAAGGTCTCTCTGGCGGATGGAACAGAGTGGCTTGTTTATGCCATCCCTCAAGATGGAAAGGATCCGGATTTCCGCTTGGAATCTAACACCGACTTCCGTGGCCCAAGTGGATGGTCTGGGACCGTTCAGATCACGAAGAACCCAGCAGGTGACTCTGGTGAGAAGCTTTTGGACGGATCTAGCGGTGTCTTCGCTCTGGAGGCTGCTGTATCCGGGTCGGTTCAGGACAATTCTGGTACATACAATCTGGCATTCGCCAAGTCAGGGAAGCAGCTGCAACAGACTCCACTGCTTATGTATGCTCTGCCGCATCACGTCGAATCGTTTGATAACACCACCAAGGGCCGCATGACCAGCATCACGCTTCGGACAACCACAAAGGGTAATGCAACTGCTGTAGTAGGAGAAACTTGGACGATGCTGGAGCCGAACCTTCCAACTCAAATGGGTTTCGACCCGTGGTCGGTATCGGCCGGTAACGTGAACAATCTGAGCGCTGCTGCCAAACAAGTCATCCTATCTGTGGCGCCCACTGAGCTCAACCAAAGCATTGACCAGCAGTCAGACCTGAATAGCATGTACTACAGTGGCAAGGCCTTGAGCAAATTTGCAACTCTTGTTTACACAGTGAACAAGCTAGGGGGTAACCCTGATCTGGCCGCTTCGGCTTTGCAGAATCTGAAGACCGCCTTTTCTCGCTTTGTCGACAATAAGCAACAATTTCCGTTGGTGTATGACAGCGTTTGGAAGGGTGTGGTGTCCTCTGCCAGCTACGGAGGCGATTCTGGCGCTGACTTTGGAAACACCTACTACAATGACCATCACTTCCACTATGGGTATTTTATCCATGCAGCTGCCATTATTGGCTCGCTCGATTCGACCTGGCTCACGGATTCCAACAAAGCCTGGGTGAATATGCTTGTCCGTGACGCCGGAAACTCGGCCGCGAACGACCCATACTTCCCATTCTCGCGCTCTTTCGATTGGTACCATGGGCACTCGTGGGCGAAGGGTCTGTTCGAGTCGTTTGACGGCAAGGACGAGGAATCAACCTCGGAAGATACCATGTTCGCGTACGCTCTGAAGATGTGGGGAAAGACGATTGGCGATGCCAGCATGGAAGCCCGCGGCAACCTGATGCTGGGCATCCTCCGACGAAGCTTGCACAACTACTTCCTCATGGAGAGTGATAACAAGAATCAGCCTGCGAACTTCATCGCCAACAAGGTGACTGGAATTGTAAGTTTCTGGCCCGACCCCAAGTCCGTTTACACGCAACTGACAAGGTTCAAAGCTGTTTGAGAACAAGGTGGATCACACTACCTACTTTGGTAACAACCTAGAATACATCCAAGGGTATGCATGTCCTTCGTACGTTTCTCTGTTTCGCATGCTAACATAGTCAAAAGTATTCACATGTTGCCCCTCTTGCCTTCGTCTCCATATGTACGGAGCCAAAACTTCGTTCGAGAGGAGTGGAATGCACTCTTCTCGGCCAATGCCACCGATCCAGCATCGAACGTCACTGGCGGATGGAAGGGTGTTTTGTACGCCAACTTGGCACTGATCGACCCTGCGTCTTCGTGGAACTTCTTCGCACAGTCCAATTTCGATTATAGCTGGATTGATGGAGGAGCGTCACGCACGTGGTATCTTGCATTTGCAGCGGGTCAGTATATCCCTCCGACTTCTTAATCAATGATGTTGCTAACCACGTACGCAGGCTTGGGCGGAGGTCCCGCTTAAGGACACATCATAGCGACCAAGCATTTGATATATTTAGTTTGCCATTTTGGAGTATCCAGCGTTCCTTCACAGGAAGATATGCAGTCTGTGCTGTTGATACGTTTTTGTTGGCGCCGTCTTATATACCTGTTCATATATCCGACTACCCTGTGAACGTAGTGATATAGATGTTTATTAATGATTTTACCTACATTGGCATTGATAAAAAAGAGAAATATCATCCACGATTATCAGATTTGTCGGAAGTACTACGTCCTAGCGCACACGGCAACAGTAAACCTGGCCATTTCGTCAACACCGCCACTCCGCCGCAACTGCGACGAGGTAAATGCACTAGCATAGCCTCGATGTTCCCCCATCGTAAACCTGGGCTTCATTCAGGATAAGAAGAACAACGCCGCCCATAGCCTTGTAACAAGGCTGTGTAGCCTCCTGATAAGCTTAATCATTGCAAACCCAAAGTGGGATGTGCCCCAATCACTCGGGATTCATCTATCCTGCAGTTGGTGGGCTGCGTGACTCCGTTTAACCAGTACACACGTACTAGTTCTTATGCTAGGCTGACTGACTTGGGAGGCTCTGATGTGATCTGATAAGTGAAATGCGAAATGATACTAGTAATCACTGTGGCTCATGGACCTGCTAAGACCCTTGACTCACCCTTTCATTCCTGTAGCTTAGGTAATTCTGCTGAGTTGAGGAATGCCACAAACAAGCCACAGTATCTCCATCTCTCTGTTATCTATATCTAAGCAAATCTAATCTTTTTAGACTAGCTAGCTAACTAAATAACTAACTCATCAACTAGTAACTTGTTCAACACCTTCGATCCAGCTTAACAATAGAAAGAATGCAACAAATGCTATGATTGGTGGCTGCAACGCAACCGGCGAATGGGAGTGGGTCAACCAGCAAGGGACGGGCTGGACGGGAAAAAGTGTGCACGGATCAAGTTGGGTCTGCTCTAAACAAGTTCCGTGATCCATCTGGCAACAACATATTTCTTCGAGGCTTGAAGTTAAAATTCTTTTAGTTTGTTGATAGTCTTGATGGCTTGACTATTCAGCTAACGTGGCTGGATGTCTCAGCCGCTTTTTGATTGTGAATCATACCACTGTATGTATGTATATACTGTAGTATGTACTGATTGTGTATGTGGCTGTATCCAATCCGAGGGGTGTGCCGTTAGTCAGAGATACATTGTAACTAGTTGACCTACAACTTAGCACTGGTTGTATACGAGCATCACAGTTACTGAATAAGGGAACTGATTACTAGTCAGCTGGTGCTGTGGTAATATCATTAGGTAGTTGGTAATTCATTGTTGGTGTCTCGTTCTCTGCTGTCATCTTCTCAATATCTCCAGTTTTCCAATATTAGCATTAAAATCGGGCGGGTTGTACTCTGTCTAGCAACGTGTTGCGACTATGTGGGAGACTGAACTTAGACTCTGCAAGTCTCCCAGTTTCAAAGCCCGATAACCAGCTCATCAATCTTAAATGCGGTCAAACCCAACCAGTTGAACTTACAAGTGGTTCCAGAACTTTGTGTGCACTGAGAAGCCAGTAAGCCGAACGAATGAGCATCTTACGTCAAAGGGGGGCCATTCCCCTGAAGGTGGGCCTGATCGTGGCAGTGCAAATGCATAGTGAGTGGGTTTTCCACCATCATCCGGTGTCACGGCAGTCCAGGAACCTGGGAATTTAGAATTATCAGTAATTTTACCATGAGAAGGAACTCTGGCACGGCGGGGGTTTGTTTGATTCAGGACGGATGCTAGTTACCTAGTTAAGTAGAATTATCATTGCTGACCTCTTCTTCATTTTAATTACACTGCATCAGGAGTCGAGTTGAGATTCAAATTCAGATTCAAGTGATTGAAGGTGGCTGGAGCTGGAAGCATCAGAGCATCAGCCCCACCCGGATTAGTCCGGGACTCTCGTCACAAACAGCCGATTCCTGCTGCTGGTGGGAAGCTCAGGCTCTATCGATCTATCCTCTGCATTAGTCTACATCACCATTACCCAGCATGGAGAAGCTGGTCCGCACACTTGTGCCTATCACTCTTCACACCCAGTAAATCCCCCCATATCCCATATCCCAACTTTTCAGTCCTTCTTTTCCACAAACTTTCCTTTTCTCAATCAAGTACGGAATACTCCCCCAATCCCATTCCCCGGTCGGCTTCGGGCAGTATCCTCTGGTCCCAATTGTCTCCCGCAAAGTGGTCAACGTCATCGTCATCCAATTCCTCCATTCTCTCGTTTAAAAGTACCCTTCCTGCCCAGAGTGTTAAGTTAAAAAGATTTTCTAACCCGTCCCAGGTAGCATTACGACCATCACTACGAGTAACTACTTTACTCTTCCTCCAACTTAGCCCCCCCACCCCTGCTTCCATCACACTGGCAGCTTTCCACTCTTCCCCCTCCATCAATCCCTGGAACGTTGGATGATCTGGATTGAGGCTGTGCTGCTGCCTCCTCCTTTTGGTCCAAATCCCTCAGTCCTTGGTCCACCAGAATTCCCTCACCAACCAATTACCGCGGCCAGTGGAACGTCCGGAATCGTGATCACTGCTTAGCGACTCTTTCGACTACCACTAGAATCTGTACGGTTTGGAGTACGTAGCCACCATCTCTTGGCCCCTGTACCTTGCAAAAACTCCCTTTCTTTGGTTGATCCTTCACCCTGGGGTAAAAATCTCAACGTGTGCACGCGTCGCACGGTTCTAGCCATTCCTTATCCGCCGTGTCCAAGCCTGCAAGGTGGCTTGTGCTGTGATGATCCTTTGCTAAACGCAAGCAAAGTTCAGAGAAAGCCTACCCACGCGACAAGCCACACCATCAGACTTGCTCCTCCATCCGATCACGGGGGTGCTACATTGCCAATCGACTGTTCATTTCGATTAAGCCCCGTTTCCAAGAGTCGACTGGAAAAGTTTAGATCAGAAGACCCAGTCGTTCATATCGCTTATATCTCTCAACCCCCGTTTGTTGTGGTTCCAGATTGTCGCCACAGGACTGACATTTCCCAATGGGTAAGTGTTAGAGAGAGAGAACCATCGTTCCTTAGCACTCCTCATCCATGTTTCGAGTCCTGCTCCTACCTAATTCTTAATTCCCGTTTCCCCACCTCCAGTTTCTTCACAGCTACGTTCCTCTTATTCAGGTATCACAGTCCTTCCATTCGTTCGCTTTTCCATCTTGCTTTTTGACCCTCTTGCTTGCTATGATCGGCACGGCTTGTTGTCTCTTCACGCACACTTAGATCACTATACTCTTTGGCAGTATATCCGGTCGTTTATAAGCTTTTCACTTTCCCCACTCCTTTGTTCGTTTAAACTGCTTTGTCGTGTCAACTCGCCTTCCTTTCCTATTTGTTTTTCTGACAGCACCATCCCCGGCGAATGACAACCGTTGCCAGCCTTTGTCTCATCTTTTCACATCTACCCGCCTGGTCCTATTAGGTGCCACGCTCTGTAGACTGGGCTAACAAAATTCCCAACCTGCCTTTACAGCGACCAACAATATCTTCAAGTTATTTAGACGCTACTCCTGGGGCCCCAAACGGAGAATGACGGGCTTATCATCAGAAAATGGTTCCACGGAGCCTGATGAGAGAGCAGCATTGCTCGGTGACATTGCTCGCAGTAACTCCGGCCTCCGTCCGCGACAGCAGAAGCTTCACTGGTCTCACTGGCCTAGACGGGTGGCTCATTTGACTTGGTCGACTCTCGTTCGCGATTATGTCAATGTCCTGCTCATTTTAGTGCCACTCGGTATCATCTCCGGTGCTCTCCATTGGGACAGTACTGTCATTTTCACCTTGAACTTTCTCGCAATCATCCCTTTGGCCTCTCTTTTGAGCTTCGCGACTGAAGAGCTGGCAGCTACTATGGGTCAAGCCCTGGGAGGCTTGATGAATGCCACTTTCGGCAATGCGGTTGAGTTGATCGTATGTATATCTCTGACTTTTGTCTAAGTCTAATGTGTTACAATGACCCGGTGCTGACAAGAATCGCTACGGATAGGTCAGTATCATTGCTCTGAAAGACAACCAAATCCGCGTCGTCCAAGCCAGTATGCTTGGTAGCATCCTGTCCAACATTCTGCTGGTCCTCGGCTGCTGCTTCTTCGTCGGTGGTCTCAAGTACTCGCAGCAATCTTTCAACAGCACGGTAGCGTCGACAATGTCATCCCTGATGACTGTTTCATCTGCTTCGCTGATCATTCCCGCCACCCTGTACGCCTCTTTGAGTGGTTCTAAAGATAAGGAGCAAAGACGTGACAACATTCTGATCCTCTCGCATGGAACTGCTATTATCCTTTTGGTTCTCTATGTGATGTACCTTTACTTTCAGCTCAAGTCGCATGCGGAGCTCTTCGAAGCAGCCAACGATGAGCTCAACGATACAGAGAACCAGGGTGGCGAAGTTGAAGAAGCCGAGGAGGAGGAGCATTTGCTCAGTCCGTGGGCGGCCACTGTTGCATTGATTGTCATCACGGTCTTGGTTGCTATCTGCGCCGACTATCTGGTTGGAAGCATTGACAGTATTGTGACGAAGACTGGAATGAGTCGCACGTTCATCGGTCTTGTTCTTATTCCCATTGTTGGAAATGCCGCAGAGCATGTGACCGCTGTTGTTGTTGCTTGGAAAGGAAAAATGGACCTTGCCATTGGCGTTGCCATCGGAAGCAGTCTTCAGATCGCTCTTTTTGTGACGCCATTCCTTGTCATTCTTGGATGGATCATGAATGTGGACATGACGCTACACTTCCATATCTTCGAGACAATGGCCTTTTTCATCTCTGGACTGGTTGTGACATTCCTGATTCAGGACGGAAAGTCGAATTACCTCGAGGGTGGACTATGCTTGGGAATGTATGTTGCTCCTATACCGCTATATTGTCTCACTCACCTTTGAGCTTTTATACTGACCCATCCCAGGTATCTAATTCTGGCAATTGCCTTCTACATCTACCCAGACGATGTCAACGAGGATGCCCTATTCAACCACTAATATGTTGTTCAATGGGTTGGGCACCTTATTGAGCTGCTGCCTATCAGCCGTCTCCGCTCACTATTCTCATTTTCCATCTGTACTCCTTCGTCGTCTCTCCTTAATCCTGTTTAACTCGAAAATGCCGTTGTAAAAAGCGAGCTAGCTTCCTCTGTGGGTTTTGTACAGACATGTCCAGTTGACGTTTTGGGCATTTTTCACGTTCTACAATGGGAGGTGCTTTCTTTGTTTCAGTCAAGCTGCGGGCCAGTACCAACGATGCCGAATAGGCTACAATCCTGTATTTCAATAGGCTAAGAGCCAGGTTTTACAAATGTCACCTTAACAACTTGAGTCTCTGCTGCGGACCGAAAAACGAATACTTAGGAATCACGCCTTTGTCAGTAGCACCAACCTCAGCTAGGATGGTTTGTCTGCTGTATGATTCAATTCAACTCTTAGTAAAACTCGTAAATAATTGTGTAGAAATCGTCACTTCGTCATCATTGCAGTGGAGGCATCGCATCAACTTCCTTGATCCAATAAAACTCTTGGCAGCGGCTGACTCAGCCGCGGATGTGGAGAGGAAAATCGTTCGCCGGCCATCCAAGGCGAGAGAGCCAGATTCGGGTCGATGTGACTACCTCTTCCCATCCTCCTTGACATTGATTGTTCATTGAGGGCCCATTATCACACACCATGCCGCCGCGTCTCAACCTTTTTACCGCACGGGCGGTTCCCGTTCTTCGCCAGTCCGCCAACAGCTCGGCGGCTTCCCGACGCAGTTTTGCGACCATCCTCAACACCAACCGGCCTTGCGCGGCCTCGACCGGCCATGGCCTGAAATCCGGCCTGTCGGCTTCCGTCCGGGGACAGAGGAGGTGCAACTCCTCGGGCTCTGATGGTCAGGATAGACCCAAGGGCCCGACCGAGGACCCTTTGCCCCATGTTAGTGAAGAGGCCGCGGAGGTCAGCAAGATCATGGATAAGAAGTGCGATGGTACTCCTGCTAGTCCTGAGTTGGAACAGGGATCGCCTATTTCTGAGGTGCGTTTCTTTCTTGGATGTCGTGTTGTGGCCGTTGCTGCTGCGGCTGCTTCCCTGTTTTGACGCTCTCCCCGCGGTATCTGGGTCCCTATTGACTATTGTCTCTGCATAGATCCTGCAACGTGATAAAGAGGCCCTAAAGCATATGCCCAAGGTCATGCAAGACCAGATGAAGCGTCCATCCGGTAGCCGTTCATTCTCGACGTCCGCTCGCCGCCTGCAGCCAGAACTTCAGGGAAAGGAATTGGACGATGCCTCGGCGTCGGTCGTTGCCAATATGATCTCCCAGGTTAACCAGCAGGCCACGGAGCTGCACCCTGGACTCAAGTTCGAAGCGCCCCAGAACCTTCCCAAGACCGAGAACTTCCGCAAGAGATACGAGACGATAGTGGAGCAGTTCACTAAGCTGCTGATGCAAGATGGCAAGCTGAGCAAGGCTCAGAACGTACGTTCTACTATGCAGAGTGACCTTCTTTTCTTTGACAGGATCAGGACTGATTTTGACTTTCTGCGGTAGACCATGGCATTCATTCTGGATCACTTGCGCACTGCTCCTCCCCCTAACATCAACCCCCGGCGCCGCTTGCTCCCGGGTCCTCCCGCTCCTCAGCTCCCTCTTAACCCCGTCCTCTATCTCACCTTGATTGTCGACTCTGTCGCGCCTTTGCTCAAGCTCCGTCAACAGAAGGGTATTGTTGGTGGTGGTGTGTCTGTGCAGGTCCCTTCTCCTCTCGCGCTGAGACAGCGCCGGAGAACCGCGATCAAGTGGATCATTGATGCCTCTGACAAGCGTCGGGATGCTATTTTTGGCCAGCGCGTGGCTAATGAGCTGGTTGCCGTTGCTGAGGGCCGCAGTGGAGTGTGGGATAAGAGAGAGCAAGTGCACAAGCTGGGTGTGGCTGGCCGTTCTAACCTTGGATTGGTTGCGCGCCGGAGGTAATGTACTTATTTCAAGTCTATTGAGTGAGAGATGGAAAAAAGACCCATTTCTACTGATGATATCAGAGGGCGTTCGGCTACATTGTACCTATGATGGTATGCAGTAGGGGGGAGCTAGAGAGATGGGATAGTTGGATGGGTGTTGTATATTATCTGAAACCTGTACCTCATTTTCTTTGACCGTTTTTTGAAAGCATTTGGATTAGAAAATTTACGCATAATTGATTCAAGATGGAAGGATCGGATGATATATTGGATTGTATCTGAAATTACTGCTAGTATATAACAGAAGATAGTGTGAAGTTGATGCGACTAATGAAGTCCTCGACTCCGGCCACGAGCCAATGACACGGGCGATGACTAACAGCGCTAGTCGCGGCTGGGTCCCTCTCCAATCCCGGCCAATTCTGGCCCCCCGTAAAGCAGCTTATCTGTAGCTTCACCGATCAGCATTGCCTGCCTACTCGCGATCTGTAGGATGCACTTCATCTCCTACAGGTATCTTTCCATTGGCGTGTTAAGCGGCATGCTACATTGACAGCTGGATCGGGTGCAATCCCTGTTCTAGACGCGTGGGGAGGGAAAGTCTAACGCCGATCGGGTATACTATTCCTGCTGGCGTCCCGTGCTTCATAATTCGTTCTCCCCGATAACGACCAACGCACTGCAGATAACTACCAGGCTAGTATATACGACCATCAACTAGCTAGCGTTAGCGGCACGACTTGAGAACGTGGAACGTCGCCCATCCAACACCCTCGCACAAATACGCTGGACATCCTCCGGCCGCTGTCTCTGCTGCCCCGCTCTTCCCTGCCTCTTTCCTCCTGTCCAACACCGTGTCGTCGAATGCCGGCGATCGAACCTGGGCACGCATCGCTTCTGCGAGGGGTGCCTCTCCCGACGATAACGACGTAACCCCAAGCGGCCAGTCTATTGAACTCGGCCAGTATCCTGACACACCTGCCACAACTTCCCGCCAGTCTCACGCGACTCTTCCTCCTACCCAGCTGACTGACCCGGGGTCTGAATCCCCTTCCTACCATCGTACAGACCACCGGGAAGGTCATCCTCAGAAGCCTACACTGCGGGAGAAACCGGTTATCATCAAATATTGGATAGAAGCTCTTCGTCGTCACCCTCACCGCCACCAGACTTGCGGTTCCGCCGACAAGATGAAGTTCTCTCACAGCATCCAGTTCAATGCGGTGCCGGACTGGAGTGCTTATTATCTGGCTTACAGCAACCTCAAGAAACTGTACGTCTGCTCTCACACACACTCTCTCTTTTCCGTCCTCCGCCGGGGGGATTTTCTTCTTATATCGCGAATGTCACATTACACTCCGAAAGTGCATGTTACATTGGCGGAAATTCTCTCTGTTGAATGGATCCCTCTAACTGTTGTCCACTGTTCAGGATTTACTCTTTAGAACAGGAAGTGCATCATCGATCGGCCGGACATGAACATGCAGATGTTGAACAAGCCCCATTGCTAGATGGCGGCAGTCTAAACACTGATGCGATATTTCGTCGGGCTCTAGATGCAGAACTCGAGAAGATTTGCTCGTTTTATCAATCCAAGGAGGCGGAGATATTCACTGAGGTTGAGGATGTCCTCAGAGATGCCGAGGAATATGCGCACAGGGCCGATACTATGAATGTCGATCCCATGAGTGACGCCATGATCAAGGGTCGCACAGCCAGTTCAAGCTCTAGGCAGCGGCCGGGGAGCATTGTTCGTCGGGTGCCATCGAACCAGGAACGGCGTCATAGCGCATTCAGTGAAACTTTGGCCGATGATGATGATGACGATGCAGACAGTGACGACGAACCTGGGACGCTGTCGAATCAATATCGACCGCAGTCGCATGGCGCCGAGTCTAGCAATCCGGATGGTAGTCGTACGGACGACATGAGGGATTCTGTGCTCTGGGGGGCTGATTCCCGGCTTCTGGGCTACAGCGGTCCGTCCGCGCACCGCGGGGGTGCACCCGACGAGCACTTTTCGGACCCAATCGTCGTAGACCTCTACAATGCCGGGCTCTCGCTGAAGAAGCGGGCTGTTGCGGCTTATGTTTCCATCTGTGGACTCAAGTCGTACATCCAACTTAACAAGACTGGGTTCTCCAAGGCACTGAAGAAGTACGATAAGATACTTGACCGCAATTTGCGTCGGGAGTACGTGAATTCAGTCGTGTCTTTGACGTATCCTTTTAAGGATTCTACCATGGAAAAGGTGGATGACAACATTCGCAAAGTCGAGGAGGTCTACGCGAATGTCGTCACCACCGGTAACATTCCCCTTGCCAAACGTGAACTACGTCTGCACCTCAGGGAACATGTTGTGTGGGAGCGAAACACGGTCTGGAGGGAAATGATTGGCATCGAAAGGAAGGCTCAGGCTGCGAACGTCGGTATTCGCAGGACGCTTCTTGGTGGAGACGAAGATCCTTCCAAAGCACGACGCCAAGGAGACGAGCAGGAAGTCATGCCCAAGATGATCCGGACGCCTTTTGGAATCATCCGAATCCCGCAGTGGCTCTGTAGTCTGAGTCTTGTCACCCTCGTTCTCATCCTGCTTGTGTTTGGCATTTTACTTTCGGTCCCGATAATGGAGAAGCCTGAACAGCAGAATTGTCTGGCCATGCTTGTTTTTGTCAGTTTGCTGTGGGCTACAGAGGTCGGTTTTATGCCCTGCGTCTCTGTTCATCGACTGACCCAAGCTAATTTCACTGCAGGTTATTCCTCTATTCGTCACATCGCTACTCATTCCTTTCCTCGTCGTGATGCTCCGTATCATGTTGTCCGACAACAAGCCTCACGAACGTTTAGGCCCGAAGGAAGCCACCGCCGCTGCTTTCAGCGCCATGTGGACGCCAGTCATCATGCTGTTGCTCGGTGGCTTCACCATCGCTGCGGCGCTTTCTAAGTACGATATCGCTCGTCGTATGGCCATGTTCGTCCTGAGTAAAGCCGGGTCCAATCCCAATATCTTGCTTCTCACCAACATGTTTGTGAGCATGTTTCTGAGTATGTGGATCAGCAACGTCGCCTCGCCGGTGCTCTGCTACTCAATCATCCAACCTCTGTTGCGAAATCTGGAGCCCGACTCCAGCTTTGCCAAGTCCCTTGTTCTAGGTATTGCTTTGGCCGCCAACGTGGGCGGTGCCGCGTCGCCTATCGCGTCTCCTCAAAACATCATCGCTTTGCAGAATATTTATCCGAGCATGAGCTGGGGGACCTGGTTCTTCATCTCACTCCCGGTGTGCATCCTGTCCATTGTCGCCATCTGGATGCTTCTGGTGCTCACCTTCAAGCCCGGTCGTGAGACGGCCGTCGCCATCCGTCCCTTGAAAGACAAGTTCACTGGAGTTCAGTGGTTCATCAGTATTGTCACACTGTCAACCATTGCGTTGTGGTGTGGCAGTCACCAACTCGAGCATATTTTCGGAGACATGGGCGTAATCGCCATTATTCCGATGGTCCTGTTCTTTGGCACAGGTATCCTCAACAAAGAAGATTTCAACAACTTCCTCTGGACGATCATCATTCTGGCCGCTGGTGGGCTCTGCCTTGGAAAGGCGGTCACGTCTTCTGGTCTCCTTCACACCCTTGCGAATGCGATCCGCATGCGGGTGGAACATCTCAGTCTTTATGGTGTGCTGCTTGTATTCTCCGCCCTCATCCTGGTCATTGCCACGTTTATCTCCCACACCGTGGCAGCCCTGATCATGCTCCCGCTGGTACGACAGATCGGACTCGGCATGGACGACCCGCACCCGAACCTGCTCGTGATGGCGAGCGCATTGATGTGTTCGGTGGCCATGGCTCTACCGACCAGTGGCTTCCCTAACATGAGTAAGTCGCCCTCCACTGACAAGTAATACCAAGAAAAGTATGCATGTACTGACAAGTTACAGCGGCCATCATGACCGAGGTACCCCAGACGGGCCAGCGGTATCTGCAAGTCCGTCACTTCTTCACACGGGGTATCCCCGCCAGCTTGATGTCCTTTGCCGTGATAGTAACGGTGGGATACGGGTTGATGTACATTGCTGGACTGTGAGCTACGTTGTCACCTGACAAGATGTCAACGCAGACTTACATTAATTGCTTTACTTTGCTATTGCTTTTGATCTACGTTGTATGTGGTGGAACTGTGAAAGATAATGGGGCTTGATCTGATGCTGATTTAGCCAAGCGGCGCGATCTGGTCTGGGCATGCTTCTTTAGATCGTGCGTTTTCATGGTGGATGTTGCTTATGGTTATATTTGATGGATGGTGGTACCGATTTTACTTTCCTTTTTCTTTCGTTTGGCTAGATGGTGAACGATAGAAATATACCAGATTGATGCTATAGAATTGGAATGTGTAGGGCTATAGAGACTCAATTCATTATCCTGTACTAGTTATGATACTGACCATCCAATGAATATGGTAGCATGGTAGAAGGTACAGGTCTGTACAGCACACAACACAGAAAGCAGCTCTTGCACCTGCTCATGCATAACACAAGAAGAAGAGAAGAAAACGGGAAAGAAGCAATATCATCATTCATCAATCGCGTAAATGAAAAAAACAACCACAACCACAAGAAAACAGATCTAGACCGTATCGTGCAACAGTCAAGTATGACATGAACATATGTATGATGATGAAGCCAAAAAGTCACAGATCAAAGAGTAGTAAGAGTAGTAGTAGTAAGACGAAGGTATCGTATCAAAGCATCATCAAGACAAACAGCAGAGAAGAGAAGGAGAAGACTGCGGACCCGACAACACAAGCGGATAGTAACTTGAAACGAGACTGACTTTTTTTTCCCAAAAAAGAAAATCCCAGTACTCTTCTCCTCACAGTACACACACACTCACACACTCACTCAGTTCCTATCCGCATGAATTAGCCAGCTGTCCCAAGATGTAGATTGCGCTCGCTCGATGTCACGAACTGGGGTATATCAGATAAATCATAATAGGGGGGAAATTTTTGTGCAGTTCAGGGATCAAGGGGAAAGGAAAGGAAAGGGAAAGGGGATAAACATACAACAACCCAAGCGTAAGATCACCATGAATCTTGGCCTTCAACTGCACCTCGATATCCAGATTCAGATCGAGTCTCAGCCTCAACTGTTCATCCTTGCCTTCCTTCTCCTCCCCGCCGCCGCCTCCACCGAGGATCCCGCCCACAGCTTTGCCGGCACTGCCCGTTACTCCGTTCAGGGCGTTACCTGCTGTGTTCTGGACGAGATCGCCGGCCTGGCCGACGCCGGGGAGGCCGCCCAGGGGACCGCCGTCTTGACCCTGTTGTTGCTGTTGGGGGCGCTGGCGGCGCTGGCGGCGGGGTCGGTCTACTTGCTGGTTGTTGTCCATGTCGGAGTAATCGTCTCTTTGGCGGAGTTTCTGGGGAGGTCGGGAGCGGCGTTTACGGTCTTGAGAGGGTTGAGGGGCGCGTTGTTCTGGTTCGGGTTCGGGTTCTTCGTCGGACGATTGGGGTTCTTGTTTGGGTGCTTTGTCTTCTTGGTCTTGGGGTTCTTGTTTAGGTTGGGGTTCTTTTTCTTGTTCTTGTTCTTGTTCTTGTTCTTCTTGTTTGGGTTGAGGGTCTTCGTCCTCTTGTTTGTCTTCTTCTTCTTCTTTGGGCTTGTCTTCTGTGGTGTCGTTGTCCTCGGGCTTCTGTTCTTGTCCTTCCTGATCACCAGTAGGAGGGTTCTCTTGTTGAGGGGAGGAAGGGGAAGAGGTAGTGTTGTTGTTGTTGTTCTCTCCTTCTTGGGAAGGGTTGTTGGTAGAAGACTCAGGCTGCTTGGACTGATCAGACATGATGAAAGAAAGAGAAAGAGAAGAGGGAGCAGGAAATCAACGAGATCTAATACTTCAGCGGCGGTCTGGGGCACGGGGACGTACACTATATAGGGCTCGGCTGGACCGTCCAATGGCCGGGCAATATTTATAGATGCAGGCTAGAAGTTACCCGCGAAATACGCAAGGGAGGTAGATTGAAAGTAAAGAAGAGGGGGGGGGGAGGCGACGTCAGTCGATGTGTGTAAATGTAAGAGAAAATGAGTAAAAAAATAGGGTAAGATGGGGGAGGGATCAAGCCAGTATGTCATTTGTGCCACTCATTCTCTCACGCTCCTCCACCTTGCAGGCAAGATGAATGAATGATGGATGACGATGATGATGATGACGTCGCGTGGCTGGGGTCTTTCATCTTAGTTTGTTCTTTACTTTTAGTACATCGGAGAATTTATTGGAGAGATCGTCGCACTTCGGCCGGGATCGCAAGGGCATCGTAATCTTCTGGACTTGGATGGATTGACTGGGGGGTCATTGTTTCGCTCCTCCAACGGGGGATCCACTGCACGACGTCAGTGCACTCACTCACTGGGTTTAGTTGGTCCACTTGCAAGCCTGTCAGACTTTACCCGATCCCTCTTTCTCTCTCTCTCTCTCTATCTACAAAGTACAGTAACGGTTCTGGTCTACTGGGGATTTTCTTTGTCCCCATTTCTTGCTTCAAGTGCATGGCAAAAAATATCCCCGGGATATGGCAAGTCGGATACAGTTGCCGTGAGACTTCAAGGGATAACCGTGGATGCTGGCGGGAGGTTTCTTGGATCACACGTTCGGCCGGCGGCAATGCAGACGAGGGTTCCATGGTCCAAAAGTATCACAATCAGGGAATGAGTATCCGAAACTCGCGATGAAGGCACGTTCTACAATAGAGAAAGAATAGAAATCACAAAAAAAGAGGGTCCGGGCAACGTGGACTCGATGACGATCACTGGCTCGACCGTCATCGGCTGACTTGAGGATCCTCTGCGAGACAATGCCGTTGACTATGATGATGATGCAGTCATCGTGATAGTCGTCAAATTAATTAATTTCAAGCATCATTGGGGAGATGGTGCAGTCGCTCAGCCGCTCCATCCTTGCGCCCACAACGTCATCCTCCCATCCTCCAGCCCTGCACGTTGAATCCCCACACCTCCAAACAAACGGCCATACATCATTGCTGGTCTTCTTTTTGCCTTTTCTTTCTTTTCTTTTTCTAGAGTTTAGGGTTTCCCTTTTCTTTTCCCTCCGGAGTGTACTCCCTTACTTTTCCTTTTTGCATGTTCAATTGACTGTCAACACTGTCTGTCTGTCTGTTGTGTCCGCTCTCCGGCCGACTGACGAATTGCCCCATCCAGCAATCCTAACGAAGACCAGTCCTTCTGTTTCTTCGCCTCCCGCATTCGGGGTCCTTTTGTATGTAAACCAAGTCATGCCACTCTGTCCGCGTTTTGCCAATCTAACAGTCACTCTGGGCTGGTAGGAATTATATCAATCCCATCCACTACATTTTCTCACACACCTTAACCCCGCCATCCCATCTTTATACTCCGTTGACTACCATCTCCATCCCCCCCACAATCCACTATTAAATCACCATGGCTACCGCTCAGGCTGAGAAACCAGCCACCAAAACCTTCGCTAATGATCCCGATGATGTCTCCGACTACGATTCCGAGGATGACTATTCCGACGACGACACCCAACAAAAGCCTCAACAGCAACAGCAGCAACAACAACAACGCCGCCGTCGTCGTCCCCGGCAGCAAGATCCCAACGATGAAGACGACACCTACTATTCCGATGAGTACTCGGATGACTACGATGACTACGACGATGAAGATGATGACTACTACGACGACGAGGAAGAAGAGGTCCAGGCGATGGAACGCTACCAGCCCACCACCATCAGCAGCCGCGACAATGTGCCCGCACAACCGATCGCAAACGGCGGCATGCAGGAGGCAGAAGGCAAAACCGGCGATGACTGGGAGGATCAAGACGGAATGAAGTTGAAATTGGAATTGAACTTGGATATCGAAGTCGAATTAAAGGCTCATATCCATGGTGATTTGACGTTGTCGTTGCTGTAAGTACTCCCCCTTTCTTCTGCTTCTGATTGATCACATTGATTGCGGCGGCGGGGAGAATTGGCCCTGCGTGCGGGCCAAATGCATGCAATCAACCAAATCACATCACTTAATGTCGCTTGCTACTAGAACGTGATCGAGATCCGATGGTTGACATGATATCCTTTCTCTTTCCAGCGCATAATTTCGCCTCTTTGCCGCCTCCAGTGCAGCATTTCGATCATGTTCACCCCGTCTTTTCTCCGTCGCCGAATCCCGAGCGATGTGCGTCGGTTAACCATTTATCTACCGGCCGAAGTGGTTCGATGGTTCGTTCGATAAATTCCCGGGGGAAGAGAATGGCTTTCTTTTCTTTTCTAATTTTTTTCGCCACATTGCTGGCGCGCGTGTGGTTGACGGTCGGTCGGGTTCCTGGCGATCGTTGCACTTTTCGTCCATTTCGGCCGGCGCTCGCAAAATCCATTTCCTTTTTCCATCCCTCCATTCCGTTCCGTTTCCGTTATGACGTTTACGAAAGGATTTTCCCCGGTGCTCTTCTGCTCTCAACAATAGCGGTTGTTTTTACAAATGAATTGCCTTGTATTCTTTTTCTCACATTGCCATTGTCCGGATAGAAGTGGCGACTGCACTTGGATTACTGATGCATGCGATGTTTCTATCTATGGTGATGTTAAGGCTTATCTTGACCCGTCTACTCCATATTCAGTGTCTGTGCGCACTTATACCATTGTTGGTATGGTTTTGCTTGATCTTCATCTACTTATAGTAATAAGGGTATCTACCTTTGGCTTTTATCTCATATTGTAGGTCAGGCTTCCTCCGCTTCATAGATGGTGTCGGCAACGCCGACCGTAGATATTCGATATTACAACAAAAAATTAGTTCCTATATCCAACATCATCGATAGCCAGCTATCTAATACCCTTCAATGTACTAGACAGAACTCTTGCAGAGCAAATGAACTCATCTGACATCATACCAAATTCGATATACATCGCATGCTCACAGTTGCACCCAACAATGACCTACCAGACCTTGCCTACACGGAACGACTATCTAGAAAAGTGAGCATGACAATATAATACTTCTAGCTGTGTGAGCCAGATAGATAAGCACAAAAATCAGTATCTTAAACAATCTCTATTTCAAATCCCCAAAATGCATGTGTCGTTGCCACCATACCCTTGCGTAGTGGTACACTGCAGATTAAAGATCTGTATTATTGATATGCTGTGAAACTATAGAACATAGTTCATGCCTTGCTTATAAGATAAGATACCTCTGGACATTTACTAACAGTGTACGTCTATTTCCCTGGTAGATCCACCGTTGAAGTCGGTGTCAGGATAAACTTATATATATGTAAATTATGTTGCAATTCATGATTCTCGATAGGTCTCATGATGAGTATAGACATTGTCTACTACTTCTCCTTTGTCTATAAGATAGGTAATAGAGTGATACATGGTATTTAGCAATCCTGTTATTCTTCGAATTCTTCAGATGGTTTCTTAATTTTGTGGTATTGTCCTGGAATGATCTTTATAGGTATACTTGAGAGGATCCACAAGATTGTGGATGCTCTTGTTGGTGATGTATCTCAATTCTTCCATTACTCAGTATCATCACCATGTTTCGAAACTAAGATATCGAGGCAACCAGCCTGTTTGCGTATTTCTTCATGAAAGATACCACTGGTTGATCAGAGCCAACCATTCAATATGCTGCCAGCAAGCATTGTGTTAGTATCATATCAGACATGATAGTTATCTGTTTCACGCTGTAGTTGTTTAAGTCAGTAAAAAGCAGTCCATCTAAAATTCACAGCTATTGTTCTGTACTGATATCAAACCATATCTGAGTAACTAATTGTGATATACTCAAGTCGGAAGACCTCAATCTTATTGGGGAGGGTGGATATAGTCGAGCCATATGATATACTGTGAGTTTCTAAGAATAGTAATTCAGCTTATCTTGCTACATGTTATAGCTCGTAGCCTGTTCAGCTAGTACTCATATCAGAGAACCTTGAAGTAGACAACTAGTAATTGCTTAGAAAGAAGTCTCAACTACTAACAGACTTTAATGTCTTTGTTTATATAGGGATACCGATATCATTTGTTACTTGACAAATAAATAATGCGATAAAGCCACTGGAATGCACGATTGGTTGGTCGATATGTTGTGAGAATCACTGCGCATCCAACTAATTTGTGTATATACACATATATTGTTATTCAGTGGACATACAGTACAATATCGCATGTATCTACTTGCATTGAGACTTTCAAAAACCGGAATTCGCCGTTTCAGATATGCTGTTCTGGCAGGGGATGACCTTGTATTTCAGCTAGGTGTAATTGACTGTGTTTTGTCTAAATTTTCAACATTCTGCTAACATTGCTGGGTCGTAGACGCTACAAGATACTGTTCAGTTGGGTAACATCCCCAGCGTCCACCGATTGCCACTGCAGCGCAAAGAAAATGATAAAGTGCTGATTTCACTAGCAGATTGAGCTGAAGGTGCTCAGAATATATAGTAGCTAAAATTTAAATCCATGATATAGCAATCTGAGTACTAAGATAATCCCAACATTCGCTAAATCCTCTGAAAAAATAGTATACACAATGCAGAACGATAATAATATAGTAGAAACCGAAGGAGCAGGCAACTTCACGTGTGGCCTCAATATTGGCGGAGCGCCAGTTCCTCGGGAAGGGTGAGCCCATCGCGATGTTGACGATCCCGAGGTACTCTTGGCGGGATCAAAAAGGAGTCCGCAAACTGCCACCACTCAGTCGCCGAATCCCGCGCAACCAGCAGCCAGCATCTGCGAGTCAACATATATCAAGCGCGAAATCCCCACTCAACAAGAGAACAAGGAAGGAAAGGCAAGAAAAGAAGCGAAACGAAGCGAAAATGGCACCAGACCGCTCCAACATCTCCTTCACCATCACCCACATGAACGCCAACCACCAAGACTCCCTAGCAGCCTATCTCCAAGTCTACTGCCACGTCTCCGCCCGCGAAGCCAAATCCGCCCGTCTTGAAGACATCAGTTTATCCGATCTAGTCATCAGTGCCAATGGCACACGCTACACTGTCCCCATCGATCCAGCAATGGGAAGTTTCTCCGAGTCGCGATCCCGTCTGGTAGCCATGCACCAGGAATGTCTTGCGCGACTGGGCCGGTCCGACATCACCATCAAAGAGTATCGTCGGCCAGAGGGAATCGAGATCTTCCTCTTTTTCGTGTTCGCAACTGCATTGGTGGCGTTCTCTCGGCGCAGTAACTTCCTGCCTGGGTCGTTATTCTACGAAACGGTTGGACTGGGTGCGGTTCCGCCATTGGCGCAACTGTTCTACATGACACAGCCGTTTGTGCTTACGGTTATGGCCGGGTCGCATGTGGTGGAGGCTAGTTTGTTCACGGTGAAGAGGTTGAAGCGGCATGGGGTGCCGGTATTGTCGTTGGTGTGGTGCGCTTGGGTGGTGTCGAATTTGATTGAGGGGTATACGGTGTGGAGGAGGTTTGATCGGGTGGTGAGGCAGGAAGGGGCGAAGAGGGAGCATGGGAAATAATCATCTAGCATCGGTAGATAAAATTCTACTATAATATACTACAGAGTACGAATCAAACCATAAATGTTGCTCTCCATTCGACTGCTCCATATTATTGCTGATAGTGGCTTATCGCTTATCGGCTAGCGGGCAATCGACTAGCGGCTTACTCATCAAATCACGGGACCACGCTAAACCAATCCCAGACTAGGGTAGTAGGGCAACTTCCACAAGCGAGCCACAGTGCGAAATTCAACGGAAGCCGACGACAAGCACTCAACTCCTTACGACCAACCCAACGACCCTTGCCCGCTGCGTTCCTGGTGAAGGGCTGCAGGATTAGAGGTGAGTTTGTTGCAATTAATCCGTCGTGATTTCGATCCCTCTCGAATTTTCCCGCGTCGTCGACGGTCGGTGTGCGCGTGCAATCTACGATCGGTCTCGAACTTGAATTGGAAGATACACATTCCGGGGTATATCGAAGAGGAAGAGAGAAAAAGAAGAAAGATTAGCAGAGCAGTTGTTTGGTGCAAGGGAATATTAGCGGCGGCGACGACGACGATTGAAAAGAAAGAACAACTCAAGAAAGAATTTTTTTCTTCGCTTTCTCGTCCATACCCGAATTCGCACACATTTCCAGCATCGAGCATCGCCACACACACACACACAACACCATTCCATTCAATTCAAATCGACCCGACAATCGCACGAACAAACCTAAGACCATCGACGCATCGGGGCAAAAATTTCTCGAAGAGGGATTGACAATCACCGACAACAGTCTACTGCTTATTGCTACTGTCTTTTGTGGCGAGCAATCCCCGCTAATACTTCTGCCATCTACAGTCCCCTCGAACAGCAAACATGGGTATCTCACGCGACTCTCGTCACAAGCGCTCGGCTACCGGCGCGAAGAGGGCCACCTACCGCAAGAAGAGGTATGCATGAGTTCCTATTGTCTTTCTTACTCAACCAACTACACTACGAAAGAAACAACGACTGACGCACGGCAATTCAACAGGGCGTTCGAGAAGGGTCGCCAGCCCTCCAACACCCGTATCGGAACCAAGAGAATCCACCTGGTCCGCACCCGTGGTGGTAACCAGAAGTTCCGTGCCCTTCGTCTCGAATCCGGCAACTTCTCGTGGGGTTCTGAGGGTATCTCCCGCAAGACCCGTGTCATCGTTGTGGCCTACCACCCCTCCAACAACGAACTGGTCCGCACCAACACCCTGACCAAGTCGGCCGTCGTTCAGATCGATGCTGCTCCTTTCCGTCAATGGTACGAGGCCCACTACGGCCAGCCCATCGGCCGCCGTCGCCAGCAGAAGACCGAGACCACCGAGGAGAAGAAGTCCAACAGCGTTGTGAAGAAGCAGGCTGCTCGCTTTGCTGAGCAGGGCAAGGTCGAGTCTGCCGTCGAGCGTCAGTTCGAGTCCGGACGTCTGTACGCTGTTGTGTCGTCCCGCCCCGGCCAGAGCGGCCGCGTGGACGGATACATCCTGGAGGGTGAGGAGCTGGCTTTCTACCAGCGTGCTATCCGCAAGTAAAGAAATCATACACACAAAAGCGAATAGTTACGTTGTGTTGTTAAGTTAAAAGGGCTGGATGGATCGGAGTTAGCATTTTCCAGAAAATTAGCTCTGAATTGATGGATGAATCAGATGTTCACACTTTCCAGTTCCACGTTTAAGACTATTGAAGTAGTCAACTTGTAGTTCCAACTGTATCCCGTAGTGTTAAGTTTTCATTATAACTTAACTAGTTACTTAGTAGGTAGGTACCTTGTTATCTCCGATGACGAAACACTCCTAAGTAACTTAGTTAATTTAAACCCCTCCCTCATACCTACCATTGATGTAACCACACTCTTCCTGCCTATCTATACCTCACCCCCCTCCCTACTCTACTACTACTATCTATCACTACCCCATACACTCACCACTTCACTTCATCTCACCCCATCACACCAACAACACAACTACACAAAACACATAAAACCACCATGCCCACTCAACCCCCAAACAACCCAACATCACCCCCCAAAACCATCAAGACATCCCTCCTCCTCCTAAGCGACACCCACACCCTGACCCCCCTCCCCCCCATCCACCCCAACACCAGTACACCCTTCCGCCATCCGCTCCCCGCCACGGACCTCCTAATCCACGCCGGCGACCTCACCAAAGTCGGGCACAAGCACGAACATCTCACGACGCTCTCATTCCTAAAATCCGCCCGGGCGCCAATCAAACTCATCATCCCAGGCAACCACGACATCACGCTCGACGAACCCTACTACAAGAAAATCGGACACTACCGCCACCGCTACCGCACCGACCATACAGCGCCGTCGGCCACAAGCGGGAGCGATAATGTGTCCGCGGGGAAGGGAACGCCCGGAATGGCGTTAAGTGATGATGAACTAAGGGAGATCAAAGAACTATATACGGGGAAAGAAGCATGGGATGCGGGGATACGGTACCTCGAGGAAGGGACGCATGTGTTCAAGTTACAGAATGGGGCCGTGCTGAGGGTGTATGCGAGTCCGTGGACGCCGGAGTTTTGTCAGTGGGGGTTTGGGTATCCGCGGCAGGTTGATCGGTATAATCCTCCGGAGGAGGAGGGGGAAGAGGGGGCGGAGAATCCAGTGCCTGATTATCCGGGTGTGGATGTGATGATTACGCATGGACCGCCGTATGGGGTGCTGGACCAGGTGGTGCCGAATCATATGAGTGTGGGGTGTGAGCATTTGTATCGGGCTGTGAAGAGGGCGAGGCCGCGGGTGCATGTGTTTGGGCATATTCATGAGGGGTATGGGGCGACGAGGAGGGAGTGGAGTTCGGGGAATGAGAGTGTGATTCAGTGTGATAAGGAGAGGACGTTGGAGGAAAGGTGTGCGAGGGTGGATGTTAGTAAGGAGGGGGGCAATGGGTTGAGGGTTGGGGAGGAGACGTTGTTTGTGAATGCGAGTGTTGTGACGGTGCAGTATCAGGCTATTAATGCGCCGTGGGTGGTGGAGGTGGATTTGCCAGTTGAGTAGGATATTACTACGGTCTGTGGAGTTCGGTTCCAGTATATAGTTGATTTATTTTTAATGGCTGGTGTCACTAGATGTTGGGTGACAGTGTGGTAGTTCACTTAACGAACTGTTAATACTAATTGTTATACTATGCTGCTAATTCTGCAAGCTACCTGTACAGTGATCACCCGGGTATGGCATCAAATAATATACATGTACAGTCCAACAAACGAGATGTCCAACAGAAGGGAGAGAAGTGAAGTAGGTATCTCACTAAAAATGTATATCATGCCTGGATATGTCAAGAAATGAAAGTGCTTTAAAAATGTAATAATGTTCCAACCAAAGAAGAGAAGTATAATGACTGTGCAACCGGCCGGATTCCAACGCTGCAATGCAAGACAATGCCGATGTCGACGCTGAATGAAATAGAATGCAAAAAAATGATGAATGTCCAGACATTATCAAGAAGAAAGAAAGAAGTCCGCGAGGTATCACTCCTCGCGCACGGGCGTCTCCGTCCGGAAATCTAGGCGGCTGCCTTTGCGACTGACGCCTTTGAGCAGACTGAACCGCTTGAAGACTGAGTCGCGCATGCCGCTGCTCTGGCTAACCGGACTCATCAATTCAGGGCTGCGAACAGAATTGATACTACTGCGCGTCACCGGCCGGGGGTAGTCGGTGATTGAAGGAATCGTCGACCACCCGCCCTTATGGCTGCTCACAGATGGGCGATCATCGGCAGATGTCCCATTGGTTTGAGAGGTAGTCTGACTCACGCTGTCGTGCGACTTGCCTGCCGTGTCGCGAGAAGCACTTCGTGTCCGTTGCCTCTTCTGGCTCTGGGTCTCTTCAGTCGCACTGGCGCTTATCGACAATGACGACGCGTGCTTATGTAGCACATCGCCTAATCGGCTCCGTCTTTTATGATGCGTGTCTCGCGACTGTGTAGTCGTCCGGCTGTGAATGGTGGCTGCGTCATCCTGATCGACCTCCCCATTGACGTGCTCCTCTGTGGTTGTACCGTTGACCTTGCCATCCGACTGTGGCTTTGGGTCTTCTTGCACCGTAGACACCGAATTGCTCGCCACGTGATTGCCGCGCTTGAAAGGGTTCATGACACTGATTCGGTGGCTGACAGACTGCTTGGCTGAGTGCTTGCGACTGTGGTTCTTCCGCGACGAGCGAATCAGTTCTTGCTCGGGACTGAGCGCCCGCGACGCAGGCGGCTTCTGGCGTTCCTTGACGGACTCTGGAGTGCTACGCCGTGGCCATTGAGGCGCCTGTTCAGTCTCTGCTGGACGAAGCGAAGAGATCTCCGGCCCGAAAGCCTCCTCGAAACGGCGCGTCAGCTCTGCTTGCGTAGCTAGATGCGCCGGTCGGTGGTACAAGGCCAGCGCCTGCTTGATACCTAGGGCATGGTCGATGAGGGCCACTGCCAGCGCATTCTTCATTGGGTCCGCCGGCTTCGGTGTCACCAGGCCACCCTCCTCCTCTTCATGCGCATCAGACAAGAATTGGCGGTAAGCAGCAACGCAGTTGGGAGTGGCTGCGTCCAAGTCGAGCAACTGTTGCAAAGCCTCGCTGAGGTTGTTCAACCCCGTATCCTCCCCGGAGGCCGCCCGACGCTGCAACATTGACAGCTCATGCGTCTTGCGCCACGTCCGTTCGAGCGCCGTATGCAAAGGCGACAGTGCAACTTCCTTGACCTCAACCACCTCACTTCTGCGAAGGATGTTCGGGAAAGGCTCTGCAGTGGTGTAAACCGTTTTCTCAACCCACTGCTCCTTGACATCCACGTCACGAACGTGTTTCCGTAACGTTGAGCTGAAGTGGCAGGGCTCCGACACCAGGAGATGGTCTCGAACGGACTGCGGAATCTTCGACCGCTGGTAGACCGGATGATCCACGTCGCGATGAACACTGACAGGATTGATGTGCAGGTATTGGCCCTCATAATCATGAACTTCTCCGGAAGACACGACCTGCGCAGCCGGGTGCTCCCGCTGCATACGGTCAATGAAAGAGACCATACGCTCCGTCGGTGCACACTCAATGATGAATTGCTTGTCGCGAAGAGTGGTAGGGAACCCGAGTCCCTTGTATTGCACACGGAAGTACCGCGGGAACTGCTTGCTTTCCTTTGAAATGAGGTCGTAAATCTTGGCCATGGAGGCGTGTGCCCGTGAGAGTTTGGCAAAATCCACCACGATGTCTTCATATTGCTGCGCGAGTTCCTTATAGCACACCAGGGCATGCGCCCAGGCTTTGCCATCTTCGAAGTGTTGAATGATTGTAAAGTAAAGGGCTTCCTTCCTCTCGAAAGAAGTCTGCTCCGGGAAAGCCGGGTTAAGCAGCTCAGGCAAAGTCCGCTTCGGATCCCAATCATATAGATCGGCATGGAATTGAAGGGCCAGCCCAGCCTCGGTGAAGTTTCCTGCTTCGGCCTGCACCTGAGCGAGCTCGTGGACGTAGCGGATGAAGATATCCTCACGACCCATGTCTTTCATGTACTTCATCAGCCGAAGAGTGTGCAGGCTTTCGGCCATAGAGCCTCCTTGAGAGGCCACGAAGAGGTCGAGAAGCTCATCCACCGTCGCGATCAGTGCCTTGACCGCACTGGACAGGTCTTCGTCGTAATCAGCAGAGCCTTCAAAGTGATCTGACAGTTCCGCGATAAACAGTTTCTGCACGACACTTTCGCTCATGTTCTTCCTCTTGAAGAGGTTATCCAAGCTGGATATAACCTCCGTTTCGATAATAGAGAGATCCTGGTTCAGACCCCATTCGCTCAGAATCATCGTCCGTAAAATGTCGACGGCCACGTGCCGTAATCCTTCGTGGACACTGAGGCAAAGCTCAATGATGGGTGCTACCAGGCCAGGAACATACTGTACCTGGTAACCGCCCAATTTACTCAGCCCGTAGTGCTCTCTCTCCTCATCAGTGGTCTCCCAGCCGATTGATTCCCAGCTGGAATGCAGCAGGTCTGCACCCTGTTCCCGAACATCGCCCGCGATCTTCCAGATGGCGCGTCGTTTCTGCTCGGGGTAGGTCTCAAGAGCAAGAGCATCACTCGAGACAACCTTGAGCAAAGTCATGAAGAAAGTTTCCCATAGTCTCGTATCGAACGTTTCCGCATCATCCGGGGAGGGAAGGAATTTATTGGTCAAGATGGTTGCCAGATACTCCAAACTCTTGACGGTCGCCCGGTGGTTGTAGACATGAACGCTGAACCAGCTTTCAGGGTACGCTTCGCAGTTGAGAATCGAGTTGTGTACTTCGAAAGCCTGTGTCAGGAAACTGGAGAGCTCCAGGCCCTTCAGCCGGGGTCGCTTGGGGTTGGGTATCGTCGCCGCTCCAGCCAGAACGGCGGACAGCTCCACCAGCGCTTCGTCAAATTTCTGAGAGTGCTTTGAAGACTTCACCTGGAACGGGAATGATTTGCTGAAGAGCAAAGAAAGGTAGGTCGTCTCCTCTACACCGTCAGGGATGATGGAATAGTATGAGGACACAATCTTCGGCACAAACTCGTACAGATACGGGTCTGGTTGTTTCAACAGCTCCGCCACGATCGCGCAACACAGCCGGACCTGGTCACGGTAGAGGTCCGATACGGATCCTGTCGCACCCCAGTAAGGTGCCAACCAGCTGATACAGCTGGACACGAGACTCTTTCGCTCCGATCCGGAGCCAAAGATCTCTAAGCGAGTGTAGTGTTGGATGAGAACCAGCTTATAGAGAATCAGCATTCCCGTGACATCTTTGCATGAATCGATGAAGCTGAGCGCAATCATGATCGTCTCATCACGGCTGAGTACTTTCGAGAGCTCCGGGAGCCAGGTGTGGAAATGCTGAACCACAAGGGTTTTGTTTCCCACCATTGCAGGCGAGGGGTTCTTCATCAGGGCCTCGAGCGACTTGAATATCGTATGTAAATCCCGGTTGAATGTCGACTGTACTCTAGTGATTCCGATACCCTCCTCTTTCGCTTTCTGCTGCAGTCGAGCATTGATGATGAACTTAAGGACATGGCGTCCTACCTTGAACGTTGCACGGAGATTTCGCGACTGCTGAGCATCGGAACTAGCCTGAAGAAGACGTAGATAGCTTCTGACGAGACATGGTGTAGCGAAAGGGAAGTTGAATTGGTTGTCGGCATAGTGATCAACTAATGGGCCCAGGTTGAACCGTCGGTCGTGAACAATACCAAGAACCGTCACTAGATCGTTGAAAATCAAGTCTTCGTACTCTTCGTTGCCTGCGTTTTCCACCAGAATTCCGAAGAGCGAGTCCAAGACGCTGCTGAGCTGCTTCACAATCTCGATCTCCGGCACAAAAAGGACACGCTTGAGGGTATCTAATACTTCGTTCACAGGCCTTTCCCTCCAGTTCAAAAGGCTGAGTATTACCTGATCCTGCGAATATTCCGTGCTGCATAGATGTGTGTCCAATCGCAGGGTAGCCAAAGGACCGGTGATTGCCTCGTCTTTCGCTGATTCATTTTTGCCCAGCGAACTCCATGGTAGAGAGAGATAGGCTCCCTTGCCGTTCTCAATATTCGACGTACACTTGTCGTAGGCATGCAACAGGAGCGAATGAGGGCCGTCTCGCATGAAAGCCTGGTTGTCCCACAGTGGCATCCACGCAAGTGCAAAGGGGAACTCGGGCGCATCTGCAATACTCATGATCAAATGCGACCCAGGAATCTGGTCGGTGGGGATGTTGAGACGAATGGTCTGGTTCCAAGGTGCACCCCGATCGGCTACGGTGGTGCGCCATGCTGTCTGTGCGGCATGGTTGGACGCGGAGAAAACGCACCGATCAACGCGCGCGCCCGACGATGTGCGGACCTCAAGAGTTAGCTGGAGGTTATGAAGTCCAGTATGCCCTGGAACCGGAACTTGACCAGATTGCGGATGCGAAAGCAGTGCTTCTGGAGGGAAGGTCGCGTGACAGATTGTCACGTAAATATCAGACCGAGGTTTTGTTGGGGCCTGGGAGAAGCCCATCCTCTTCGTCTGAACGACATTGTGCAAGGATGTGGGATTTTTCCGAACCAGACTATCTGCGTCGGGGTCCACATAGGGGTAGAGGTGGAAATGCAGACGAGCAGCTCGTTGAGAACGCACATACTTACCAGTAGGACTCGGAAGTAATGTGCGAACAACACCATCAAAGCCATCATCCCGACCCTCTTTGTCCTCGCTGTCCTCAGACGGAGACCAGATATTGATCACCTGCTCCGCGTCCTTCTC